GTTATCAATACAATTAGTTGATTGGACCACAAAATATAAGTTCAGTGACAAGTTAATGGGCGAATTAATTACAATTAAACCATGATAAGATGTCGGCAAAATGATTATGTAAGCGATAGTTTATTGGCGGTGTCAATGAACCATGCTTAATGCTAAGACTTATTTAACTACAGTAAACAATAACAAGAAATAAAACATAGTAAGATTAATAAGGTCCTATATAATTAAAACAATTGTGGAATAGAAAATAAATAGCAGAAATATAAGGTATATGTATGAGTTTAAATAATATAACGCATGATATCATTATGACAATACAGTTTAGAAATCAATGAATATAAAAAAAATGTACATAAGTAGAAATAATATATAGCATATATAGTTAGATACTGTATTCATAGAGAAATATTGCGTATGAAGGCATAATCACATGTAGCGCCTAAGTCCTTATTAGACCCTTAATCTGAGTTTTTAACCGGATTATCCATTTCATTTCTGCGTTACGTCGTTCTTGTGTTGATTTAAAATTGCAACTTATTATTATAGCCCTAAAGTCATTGATGGTGTGATTAGGTGAATTAAAATGTACACTTACTGGGCAGTTAAGTTTGTGTCTTATAGATGATTTGTGGTTGTTCATTCTAGATCTGAAAGTTAGACCAGTTTCGCCAACATAGTTTCCCTCGTTGCATTTGTTGTAGTATATGCGGTATATAATATTGGGCGAGTTACAATTCGGTACTGGTGGCCGGATTGTTATTTGTGTTCCTGGTGGAGTAAATGAGCTGTCAGTATTGATGATGTTGCATAATTGACATCTACAGCTGTTACATTGTGTGTTGCCATGTATCGGTTTAGTGGAGGGGAGTTTAGATGAGGTTAAAGTGGGGGTTGCCTACGTGCTAGTAGAGGGGGCTGTAAAAATAATTCTTTAATCGATGGGTCTTCTTGGAGGGAGAGGAAGTCTCTTTTAATTCTCGTAGACAGTTGCAGGATGCTGGGGCTATAGTCAAATACCATAGGTAACCGATCACTGTTAAATTTAGGTCTATATGTGAGAAGATCAGTGCGGGATTTACGTGAGGCTTTTTTAATCTGGGTATTTATTATATTTAATGAGGAGTTACTTGACATGAACTTGCCAGTGAGAAGAGATATGTGTTTGTTATAGTCGGATGGACATGAGCAGATTCGTTTGAGACGCAGGCATTGACTGTAGATGAGCGATCATTTAAGACTCATAGGGTGTGAGCTTCTGTAGTCGAGGTATCGATTGTTGTCTGTGGGTTTTATGTGTACTGATGTGGTGATGTTACCATTATCTAAATTTATAGATACGTCTAAGAATGGTAAATTGGACTTAGAATGATCCATGGTAAAGTTAATGCTCGAATGATACGAATTGCAGTGATTAGAACATTCTTTAAGACTATCTAAACCGTGCTCCCAAATAAAAAATATATCATCAATATGATGGTTTCAATTAAAAACTCGATAACATCATGTTTTCGAGGTTAGCCATAAAAATGATGGCATAGCTGGGTGCCATCTTTGTATCCATAGCAGTACCATTTTTTTGCCTAAGCAACACAAGAACGACGTATCGCAGAAATGAAATGGATATCCGGTTAAAAACTCACATTAAAGGTCTAAATTATGCCTTCATACGCAATATTTCTCTATGAATACTGTATCTAACTATATATGCTATATGTTATTTCTGATTATGTACATTTTTTTATATTCATTGATTTCTAAACTGTATTTTATTTGTCATAATGATATCATGCGTTATATTATTTAAACTCATACATATACCTTATATTTCTGCTATATATTTTCTATTCCACAATTGTTTTAATTATATAGGACCTTATTAATCTTACTATGTTTTATTTCTTGTTATTGTTTACTGTAGTTAAATAAGTCTTAGCATTAAGCTGGTTCATTGGCACCGCCAATAAACTATTGCGTACATAATCATTTTGCCGACATCTTATCATGGTTTAATTGTAATTAATTCGCCCATTAACTTGACACTGAACTTATATTTTGTGGTCCAATCAACTAATTGTATTGATAACTTGATTCTGATTGGTTTATTATTCTTTATGTATATGTAAGATCTCCCAAGTCTTCTCACTTTAACGTTGATGAAGATAGCAGGAGCTATCGAAATATCCGTTTGATTTTGTTATAGCTTAAGAATAAATTTGTGTTCCGCAAGTCAACTTTCAATGATTGTACACCGTTTTTTTCATTGTTTTTACCGACGTTTCTAAAGTGTGTGTATATATATATATATATATATATATATATATATAGGCCTATAATGTGTGTGTATGCATGTGTATATGTACGTATGTGTATGGGTGCACGAACATGTGTGCGTAAAATGTATGTAGCCTATATGTATTGTATTAAAACAAATATAAAGCACCCGATTTAGCAGGTAGTCCTACTCTTTTAGTGTATTGTGTGTGAGGGGGTGTGGGATATATGTTTATGTACATATGGTACTGAAATTATTTTGTGCTTTTTGTTCTTCTATTTTGTACTTTTTTTGTAAGGATCAATTGAGACAAGCCTAACTGCTTCTATAATTTGATCCTTATCAATGGAATTATGTTATTGAAATTTAATGGTTTTTGTTATGTTCATCCATTGATTGAATAAATGTATATTGAATTGAATTGTTTTATATCTAATATTAATGGTTTTAACAAAGATTTAGGTTTTATGTCTAAGCGGTTGTACTAGGAATCATGAATCATATTGGGTAGTTAAGATACGTAGGCCTAATATAAGGAGGAGTGATACCCTTCCTGTGTAGGCCGTGGTATAGCCCACGGTCAGGTCGATCAAAACCATACTATGGCTATGCAAAATGTCTAAGCAAGCGCCCTCTATGTAATACAATTGAAGTAAACTTAGCTAGCTGATATGAATTAAGGATAATTAGATAAATTTTATTAGAAATCTACAACTGAAATAAATCGGGTAACAAATAATGTAGAAGCTCGCTGTTGGTCAGGTTTTTGACTTCAAAGCTGAACATAATTTTATAAAGTATTAGGTCATTAACGCAGGCCTATATAGACCTATTATAAAAAGTTTAGTATAAATTGTACAGTACAATTGAATTTTCGATTTTGTTCTGTATTTGTTTTACAAATCTTGTTTTGAAATACAATTTATATAAAAAGATAATATACAACGTACAAAGTGCACTATTAAATGAATACAAGAATGGTAAGTCGTTTCACAGAAATGAGGCACAAAAAGCAAAGGCTCGTTGGTCATACATTTTTAATTCAATGTGGGGAGATAAAAAGATAATTTAACAACCGTACAAACTGCACTATTACATGAATCTAAGGAGGGTAAGTCGTTTCACAGAAATGAGGCACAAAAAGCAAAGGTTCGTTGGTCATACATTTTTAATTCAAAGTGAAAAGAAACTTATTTGCTGGGCGGAGACGGCGGTATGGGAACACAGGTGTTCAGAATTTCAGAGATATAAGAGGGTTGTTGGAATCAAAGAGCCTTAAAATACAATAAAAGGATTTTTTAAGATAACACGTGGGCGAATAGGTAGCCAGTGCAGGTTACAGACAATATCCTGCTTTTTTGGGATCAAATAAATAATTTAAAAAACTAAAATCAATAGTGGCTATTTACGTCACTGATAATCTAAGGAGAGGTGAAAAAAACTCAGAAAAATGTAATACAAAATCAATAGTGTATTGTGTCATTAAAACGTGCACCGGTCACGATGTGCACTAGATCAACCACTTTGCGTCACCTCTGAAGTGCCCAAAAGTGACACCAGTAAAAAGCTAAGTGCCCAACTGCGCCAAGTAGCTCTCCTCGATTATATTTGAAAAACAATGTCAACTTGGCCTATAATTGTTGATCTTAAGGTATCTTTCATTTCAATATCACAAGACCGCTTTGATGCCATCCAGACAACACCACCTCTTTGCACTTATATAATTAATCGTCACTTGTATCAATTTCGTATGACATTTTTATATCTCATTGATGATTTTGATGTATCAATGCAAGATAAATCACCTCTGTACTAATACACCTGTGCCCTCACACCTGTCATAGTGCCCTGAGTTTACCGCGTATCGAACTACGTACTGACACTTCCCCTTAGATTATCAATGCCTTGATATAGAAGTAGATATTTCAAAGCACTGGGATTTTTAATGTTTAAAAAGACTACCACTTAAGATAGTATGAAAAAAATTCAGAAAAAAGTAATAGAAGCCATTGTGATTCAATATTTAGCACTCTATTTTTTAATTTTCGAGAATAAAACCTGTTATTGCGAGTAAATTATACAAATTTGATAAAATTGATTTAATGTTCATACCTTTAAAATTCTGCTAATAACACTAATGGACGGTCGAATTTCACATTACCAACATTATAAATGAATATTACTTTATTATTGTTATCATCATCATCATCATCATACACTTCATTCAGTTTTGTATATACACCATGACAAATTTTAGCACACAAATATTGCATATTAAACATGTAATATCATTTTTTTTATCATGTAGACTTGGGGATGTAGAGCTGACATGATTGGATTGACTGGATCATAGACGTGGATGTCATCAACAGCTTTCTTGTGGTAGGTTTTCATCTTCAATAATATGTTCCTCCTTAAGTTGATTTATTTGAAAGTCACTGTAGTCAAGAATTTCCTTCAGAATCTGCCCTGTATGTTGCCCTAAGAGCGGAGGTGGTTCAGAATTTTGAATTGATTGTGAACTAAATCTAACAGCCGAACCTACAAGAAAATAAAAATACAAAACTGAATGAAGTGTATGATGTATCAGGTCTGTAGGGGGAAAAATCTAATCCCACAGGTGTAATTGCACGATTTAAACACAGCTTTACTCTAGCAAAAGATCATTGGAAAGGTTTAACAAACGTAAATTTAAGTTCAATTCATAAACCTCAGAAAGAAATGTAATTCACAATTGATTCAAATACATTTGTTTACATCAAAAAAGGTTATAAAATCATGTTTAATAATTAAAAGATTCAAAGCACCATTTTGTTTGTTTTTTTATTATTATTATTATTATATATATATATATATATATTCATTGAATATATTCATATATACATATAATAATGTGTGATGTCTGTATATACACGTAACGTCAAAGAAAAGTTTTCCGACATTTTGTTTTACATCGCGATGCGAAGATCGATGTGAAGTTTCTGCAGAGTTCAGTCAGGGCTCACACTAACCGACCGGAATGTCGGCATGGATGAAACTATGTATTTATTTTATTTTACTTAATTTAATTATTATTAGGCCTTCTATCATATTATTATATTATCAGATCTATCTTACTTGGCTTTGGCTTGGTTTACCATGCCTTAATTAACTCCACCCAATCTTGCCATTGTTCTTAGGCTTTTCATTACACGTTTTGTATTGTTTCTTTGTTTTATTATAGCCATCCATTGGTTAATCTGCGTTCTGCAATCCCATTGGTTAACCATAAGCCTCTTCTTGAGCTTCTGTTATGTATTTAATTCTATCTTACCATGTTTTATTTCATAGCTTGATAAAGACTTATAGTCGAAAGTACTGTACTCGCTAACTCTGAAAATAAATTTTGTGGCATATATCTGATACCATCTGACTCGTTATTTACTGTATGTATATTTGCCTATACAGCATCACCTTTATTTGATATATATATATATATATATATTTCTAATTTCCTGTTTTTCTAAAGGATGTAGTCCACAGATATATATTGAAGTAATTGTTAAAAGTAGTTTAGGTTTATATTGTAGGTAACTTTACAGGACCTCCTTGTATCCAGTTTTGTATTTTGTAATTTTTTCCTTTTCTATATGATGTATTTTATTTTTGTATGTTTCTTGGATGCAACAGGCATTTTGTTGGAGTGCCACTGTATTAAAAGTGAATCCAATAAATTGATTGATTGATTGGAGTGCATTACCAGGTATCCTGATTTTGCCAACAACAGGATGCTCTATCTCTTGCACCATTCCATTATGAATGACCTGTGGATTGGTGAATGTTTCCTGCATGGAGTTCACTGGACCATAGGGAACACCAGAACCTTCAAATGCCTCTAACCACTCTGCCATTGTTCTTTCCGAAAGTCTGTCAGGAGAAAATATGAGATCTATAAAACCTATCTGGCGACACATCTGCAACTATGCCTTCTAGTCATGGGTTGCCTTTGTCTAATATTAACCCACAAGGTAGTGGGAACCCGAGTGGTGACAGAATCGCTATTTGTCAAAATTCCAATTTGTAGAATAGATTTCACCAGGGGAAGCTGGTGTTGAGTTGGTGTAGATGGAAAATGTGTAATGTGCTTGTGTATCCTTGTAATCATATTTCAACAGAATGTGGAACTGGATCAGTACTCCTCACAGCACCATAAAAGAGCAAAGTGAGGAGGGGAAAAACAAGAATATTCATCAATGTGAAGAATATTCACCAGGCCTTGGAAAAATAAAAGGAAAAACAAGTATGTTACAAACCTTTTTGAAAGGGTTGCTATCAAGGGTCGTCTGTTTTTAACTCGATCTCTATTACTTGTATACCTTGAGTCATTTAACAAATGCTCCATACCTAGAACCTGAAAATCTTACAAAAAATAGAGATTTAGGCCTATACAAAAATAGGCTCCTGATAGGAGCATGTGTATACTGCAGAAACTGGACAAGGTGCTGTCAGCCATTCTATTTTACACAACAATGCACATGCCATTTTACACAGAAATTTCACTACCACAGCATAGATTGTATCTGCGCAGGGAATATGAAATGATATCCTTTATAATTGTTGCAATCAATGTTAATTTAGATAATGCTGGTACTATGCAAAAATTATATTTATATTGATCTCCACAGTTACGGACAGTATCAAATGATAAAGTGATACAAAAACCCTTCATTTTCCATTGCAAATGAACTGGCATTTAGTTCAGAAAAGAAACCCATCAATCACCTTGAGTATATAAACACAAGTACAGTATAGTTATAGCACAACAATAAAAATTGATAAAAATAAAAACTGAAGTAGAAAAAGTTTAACTAACCTTACAGACAGAAGAAAACTGCTGATCATTACCACCACCTACCACCAAAAAGGCACCGTCCGATGTCTTGAAAGCCTAAAAGTATGAATACCAAAGTCAAATTAAAATTGTATTGTTCAAATACAGCCTTATAGCTTTGGTGATGGTTCGAGACAATTCTCACAAATGCTTCACCCAGGATTTGGTTGGCAGAACAACGTCTTCTCAGATAAAGGCTACATGCATATGTGGCTTGTGTGCATTTTAAAGAACCAATTGTAAAATTTTTTGAAAGAGCAGGGGATTTCCCTAATGCTCTGGTTCATTTCAGCACATGTAGTTTTGGATTGATGAAGGTACTTAGGGCCTTTATGACCACTTCAACATTCAAAGAGATTAGCAGTTAAATTTCATTTTAAAAAATTGGGGTTTCCCCCCCCCCCATTTTTTTCTATATATTTCTTTACTTTTAATTTTTTTTATCATTAATTTATTATATTTCTTTTTCTTATTTTATTACTTGATTTCTAACTGTATCATGACAAAATCAGTACCATAGCCCACATCAAGTACCACCACTAACCCTCCCTGTGTGAATCCCTTACTGGAGTTGTTGGGTAGTATTGAACCAGAACTAGACCTCTCTGGTAAGCCCATACTCAATTCAGCACAATGACCTGCAACTTATGAGTTATTCTCTATCTTCACAAATGCTCTTTACACCACCATGACGGATATCTTATATAATTGATACACTACCCTGATATGGAACAATACTTTCATGACCAGTATCCCACTTCTTGGCCTCTTTTCAACATCCAAGAAGATTATCAGCTAAATTTAATTTTTGTTAAATTTAGCTGATATTTGTTTCCATTTTCTCTTCTCTATATATTTCTTTACTTCTTTTAATTCTTCTTTTTTTAATTATTAATTTATTATATTTCTTTCTGTTATTTTATTACTTGATTTCTAACTGTATCATGACAAAATCAGTACCATACCCCACATCAAGTACCAACACCAACCCTCCCTGTGTGAATCCCTTTCTGGGGTTGTTGGGTAGTATTGAACAAGATCTAGAACTCTCTGTAAGCCCATACTCAATTGAGCACAATGACCTGCAACTTATGAGTTATTTTCTATTTTTACAAATGCCCTTTACACCACCATGATGGATAGCTTATATAAACCTGATAAACTAACCTGATACGGAACAATACTTTCATGACCAGTACCCCACTTCTTGGCCTCTTTTCAACATCCAAGAAGATTATCAGCTAAATTTAATTTTAAAAAAGGTTTTTTGTTTCCATTTTCTCTTCTCTATATATTTCTTTACTTCTTTTAATTCTTTTTTTTTAAATTATTAATTTATTATATTTCTTTCTGTTATTTTATTACTTGATTTCTAACTGTACCATGACAAAATCAGTACCATAGCCCACATCAAGTACCAACACCAACCCTCCCTGTGTGAATCCCTTTCTGGGGTTGTTGGTTAGTATTGAACAAGATCTAGAACTCTCTGTAAGCCCATACTCAATTTAGCACAATGACCTGCAACTTATGAGTTATTTTCTATTTTTACAAATGCCCTTTACACCACCATGATGGATAGCTTATATAAACCTGATAAACTAACCTGATACGGAACAATACTTTCATGACCAGTACCCCACTTCTTGGCCTCTTTTCCTGCAATCAGGTAATTGCTCCCTATATGGGATAGAACAGCTACCTGCACAAAATGCACATCATTAATGTAACTTTTAAAGTTTTACCACGCCTACTGCAAAACAGTCAAGTCACATCACATCATGTCTTCACCAAATCCTCGATTTATAACTGATAGTCAGTGGTCAGTGTGTCCACTGGGTTATTTTCCAATTACAGAAAACAATAATTCTTCATAACATAACAATTAATAAATATAAAAACACACTTAGTCAACATGATTGTTAGTTTACAGGTTCAGGGGTGGATCCAGAGATGTCCGGATGGTTGGGGAGGGGGTGTGCAATCGGGAGACAACACAACGATAGATGCCTGGAAATAACCTCTGAGGCATTTGGGACGATCAATAATTTCTTTTTATTTTTAACTTTCAAACCTGGGCCCTGTGTGAGAGCAGTGTTCAACACTGAACAGGCCACCCAGGTTAAAGAAGAAATAAATCTGCCCCTAAGTTTACATAAAACAAAATCTACTCCACCTGAGTTGAAAGTAAATTGCAGTCAATCTTTTGACCTTCTCCTGTTTTTTGACGTTGCAAAATGGCTGCCATTATTGCGCCATGGGCATAAAGACCGGTTGATATGTCAGTCATAGCCACTCCAACTCTCACTGGATCTCCATCCTACAAAAAGAAACACTCCAGATTTTAAATTTTAAAAGTATATCATACAAATATGCATCAGAAAGTATATAAATGAAATTAAAAATACCATAGGTTAGCAATTAGAATGTAGGCCTACTGATGATTCAGATCCACTTTAAGGGATGAAGACCAGTGGGGCTTATTCAGTATTCGGTATAATTTAATGTCATTTGTAAACTTCATTTTACATAGAAATATGATTGAAAGGATCTACTCATAAATAAACAGAAATAATAATCAGGTAAGAAGCTTAAGTAAAAATGACAGGAAATAAAAGGCTATCAATTAGTCCATTTTCATACATATCGATTCACCTCCTCTGCTTATGAAATAGCATCTAATCAATTTATGATAAGAAAAAATTATTTGATAATTAGCAATTTTTAAATAAAAAACATTTGCCTATGTTAATAAAACTTTGCCATTAATAGGATGATTTGTTTGTCTTGTGATTCCACTGGTAGATCTTTCCTGGCAACTCTTTAATTTCCTCTGTCCCGCACTTTAAATTATCGTATTTCTTATTTATTACTATTTATTTATATAGTGCCTTTCCTTTAGGTTACAAAGCCCGTTGCTTTTCCTGGTCAGTGTTGCTACCATATTGGTGCAGTAGCAGGCAACCCCACCGGGGCCCATGTATACTAATGGGTGGAGAGAAGCAATGTAGACAAAGTGCCTTAAAGACACAATCGAAGCGCACAGTGAGGTATTGAAACCCAGACCTCAAGGTTGGGAAACCAAACCATTCCCCCTGCACCAAACCGCTTCCACGTCTTTATTACATCAATATCGCTACGTCACTACGCCCAACAGTTGAAGGCCGATGCGATTCTATGGAGAAGCCACAACGTGCGCGCAACAAATCGTTTTTAATGATGATCCATTCAGACTGCCACCAACAATCAGCAAATGGCGTCACGTCATCTAGAACTCCAGGGAGCTGTATCTAACTCACAAATCACACTATGGCTATGTTCTCACACGGCAGCTAACGGTTAGCAGGATCCGGATCCTGCTAACCGTTAGCTGCCGTGCGTCCATATGAGAAGATCCGATCCCGATACCAAGAATATGATGATCGAATAACTGGCCAATAAGAAACTGGAAATTGTAAACGCGTACGCGTGATTGGTTGATGATAGAAACGCACTCAACGTGCTAACCAATAGCGCTTGCTAACCGTTAGCGGTATCCGGATACCGCTAACGGTTAAATCCGGATACTAGGGCTCTCGTGAGAACCAGGCTAATATTCTTTACAAGCTACCTCGTTGCCAGTGATGTGAAGTAATCCTCCCATTGCGGCAGCCACAACATCGTATCCTGCCCTCTTAGCTAAAGGACCATCAGAGCCATATCCTTCAAGAAAGAATAACATACATTCAATTTCATTGAAGACTTGTGCAGACTATCAAATTTTATCTGACAAGAACATGTGACATGCCTAAATATGGTCATGACAACATCACATCATGAACATAATCATGACTATATATAGGCAATCATGAATATATACAGTATGGGCATACAACGGTTTTTTTGTCAAAGTTAAAATTTGATGATGTACATAGAACTTTAGTGGAGGGAAACTTATAGTTGCGAGGTCTTAATGTCAAAAGCAAGGTAAAATTCAATGCTAAAGTTGATAAAAAAAAGGAGGTTTTGCATCATATAATATGATGTCTGTACATTTTCCTTTGGAATGGGTGGTTGCAGTTGGGGATCTCTCAGAGATTGCATTTTTTTATAAACATACCTGTGATTGAGCAATAGATGAGTGAGGGTGCAATTTTCTTCATATCCTCGTAACCCAAGCCCAGCTTATCAAGGCCACCAGGCACGAAGTTTTCAATCATAACATCACTATTTTTTGCTAACTAGAAAAAAAGGTGTTTTTTTTGTTAAAAAATCTAGAATATAGATTATTTAATTTAATAGGAAAACTAGTCCTGCATTTGAATGCTCAAATTGTTGGGGATACCGTGTACATGATTTTATTGTATTTTTTTTAAAAACAGCATGTGTGATAGAATTGTCAATTATGCACAAACTGCGATGACATGATGTGATCTAGACAATCCTCATACTAACGATGGCACACCGAGCCTGTGGCCATTTTGACGATTCTCCCGACAAATATGGATTTTTGTCTGTTTTTGAATAGAATGATGAAAATAATTCAAACTATTGATTTCTTTTTAATTTATTTTATGTATCTTCACCATTATCCAGTGAAAAAAAACAGCATCCCATAAGAATTTCCATCTTTTTTCACAGATTTATGAAAAAGGGGATTTCCAATATGGCCACCCCAAGGTCACATGACCACCTAATTAAAAATTCCAATTTCAATTTTTTCCCACCCAAACACACAAAAACAATTTCAAAATAACCTCTCTTAGTGTTTTTTTTTTTCTTTTGGCATTTATTTCAAAATAATTACCTTCTTCCTAAAAAGTCCGAGCAGTGAAAGGGTTAAAGATAAGCTCTCTGTGATGAAATAAAAACTTGAAGAAATAAACATTTGAATTTCCTACTGTGTCTATTTAAGTAAGTTTTTAGCTTTAAATTGAAATTTTGAATGAGAAAAAAAACAGATGAAAAGTTTATAAAAATGAATGATCATAATAAATGGGTGAAAAAAATATGTGCATACTTCTCTAATGATAGCCACACCTTTAGGCTGTTTAATATCCACTGCAATGCTCTGCAAAAGAATTGTTCAAAAGGCGTATGATTGAAATGAACATGACAGTAAGAAAAATGATTGAGAAAAATATTGAGAAAATACATAGAATACAGGAATACTGAATTTCAAAGTTAAAGTATCACTTTATTCATCCAAACAATAGAAACTTATACAGATCAACAAAATCAAAAATTTTATACACAAAGATAAATAAAAATAAGATCAAAATGGATTATTAATTATCAATGATTATTAGACAGTTTATAAGCAAATAGTTAGCATGTCAAGAATGATGGTGCAGTATATAAGTGGCTTATCTTTTATTACACCACAATTATTACAGTATTTGAAAATTATCTGTAAAAAGAACTTATTTACAACATAGGGGCACTGTATGTGGGCCTCCAGTACCCCATCCTCTATGATTATTTATAGGCCTAGGCTATACTCACTCGTTTGTTACGGTTTACGGACATGAAATAGCAGCTCTCTTTCTGAACAAATGGCGGACCCCAGCTTCTTGTATCATCCCCACACCCTAGCAGAATGAAAACATGTATCATACAACTATACAGTATGGAATTATACCAAGATCATACTGATTATTGTCAATGTTGACCTAAAAATAAGAAAAATAGAAATGTTGGCAAGGCTACTTGAAGTCATGAGACAATCAAACCAGTGAAAAGGGGATTTACCTGAACTGAATACTGTACCTTTATTTCTGTTTCTCCATTGCATTTCAACATTTTAGTTCGTTTTTAAAAATAATTAAAGATGTTAGAATTAAATATTTTAGGGAAATGGTTAACTGCAAGTTGTTGTACTGCCCAAGCTTGAAAACAAAAATCCTTTAAGGATCCAGGGCTTATTTTCTTAATATTTTACCAAAATATGTATTTTTCAGGGGCGTGGTACCTGTCTCTTATACACATCTAGATGTGTATAAGAGACGGGATGTAGTCCCATTTTTGGAAATGACTTCCCATTATCTGCCGCTGTTTATGCTCCATGGAGGAACCTAAAATACCTGTATAATGCCTGGGCCCAGAAAGTTAATTTCACAAATGGAGAGTCCAGACCACCTGAACGCCACTATGGTTGAGGCTGAGGTAATAAATTTTATGTCCATACAGTAGCACTTCTAGATGGCCGGAAATGGCACTCTCACTTTAAAAATTTGAATGTAATTACCATTGTATCGCCCTTTTTTTAAATTTTGGAAACATGAGGGGAGGGGCGTTGCTGGGCCCTCCTTGAATTCACATGATTTAAAAAACATGTAAGAGCAATATAAACATACATCTTCATAGTTTTACTCAAGATTAAGATCACATCACAGTTTCATTATATTAATATATTATTACTCACCTGGCTTTTCAACTTTGATGATGTCAGCTCCCATGTCTCCAAGCAACATTGTAGCATAGGGCCCAGCTAAAATCCTAAAAATTGTGGAGAACTTCAGTTACTCTTTATGTTTTAGTAAAAGCGCATTAGATGAATATTATAATTATTTTCATTAAAGATGTATTGTTTACTAAAAAAAAAACACCAAAAATCATAAAATTAACTTGGTCATTCTGAAGTAAAACATAAACATTATCTGGAGCATGAATTGCATTAAGTGTTTTTAAAAATGTTCACCTGATTTTTATACTCTATAATGATAAAAATAATAACAATTTAACAAAGTTGATACCAAAAACATCATGGAGACTTCAAATGATTCAAACCCTTTTGAGAAGCAATGATTATTGATTAACCACCCAGAGACAGGCCTTAGGGAGGTAATGTCTGAATAATATAGAATTCATAATTCAATGCATTCACACCATAACGAAATAATGGTCTTTTTTTAATATGCTTAGCAGTTAAAAATTCTTGTTTGAGTATATTTTTGAAGGGAATTGTTGCACATGATCTTTGATTATGTTACGTTATTCCAGAAGAGATTCATTTTTGTGGCTACCGAAAGTAGCTACTATGTCATCGAATAGTTTGCCGAGGTAAGTGACAATGAATCTCGGTACCAGTCGGTACCAGTCGACACCTTTGATCACGAGCCGACTACCAATCAACGCTCATAATTAATCTTGCGAATATTTCCGATAAAATGTGAAAGGTTACGAATGCAGGCGATTACGAATGTTACGAAAATTGCTGGACACACAGCGGATCCTATGTTATGTTAGGTACCTGCCTCCAGGTTTTTTTTTTTAATGTGCGATGACAAACAAAAGTAAGTTCTTTGTAGGTAGACCATGTTTGATTTCACTAATTTGACAATTTTAGGCCTAGGTGAGCTACTGATTTCCATGTGTTACCGTAATATTAGATAGTATTATTAATTATTGTTATTCTTACGCTAAATGAAAATTTGTTTTGACGTTTCATTCAAGTCTTTTCCGTTTTATAGCTAGGCCTAGTATGCTGATTTATCATTGGCCCGCCGGTGGGGCAACAATTTAAAAAAAAAATTTAATTTATTTATTTTTTTGAAGGTCGTAGGTTCGATTCTCACACGAGGCAGTTTAGTTGATGGTGGATAATGAATACCAAAACCTGGTGGTTGTGTGTTCGATTCCCACACGAACCAATTTTTTTTTTCTTTCTTTAAGGCAGTTTAGTTGATGGTGGATAATGAATGTATTGTACTCGTTGATGACGTCGCGAAATAACAACAAACAACAACATGTCATGTCCGAGCCTAGGCCGTCATGGAAGCTCATTGGCTCCTGTGTAATTCATGTTGAGCCAACTGCAGATGAAAAGGTTACAATCTTTTCAGAGATAAGCTGGAAGAAAGGTTTAGACAGTGCCCATCAATGGAAGGATTTTAATACTGAGGAATGGAAGTTAGAGAAGTCCTTGGCTTGCTTAACCGTTTTTCTTCGATCGTCGCTTCCAACCGTCTAGGCGCGTCTAGCCTAAAGAGGGCCTACATAGCAGGTCGAGATCCATGAAAAGTCATATATAAAGATGTGGGTTACCCACATCTTTATATTTGCACAAGCAATTAAAATTGTTTATTGAGCAGATTAATCACACTGATAAACAATTGTACTACATTCGGCTGATGCATACCCAGCTAGCAAAGCGACGTTGGCCCAATGTTGGTAAACGCTGGCAAGCGTCGGGGTCAGATATCTGACGTTAGTACGACGGTGTTTGGTTGCAAAATTTGGTCGGAGAGGTAACGTCAAACCAACATTGGAATTTCACGTTGGTCCAATGTATGAATATATTTGTCGATTTTCCGATCCCAACGTTGGTAAGCCGTCGTAAATATTCAGTCTGACTACGGACGTTGGTACAACGTCACGATTTGTTACTGGCCCGACGTCGGCAAACTACTAAAAAGATGGTTGGGTACTACCGTTGGCCAAACGTTGGCTAGAGGTTGTAAATATTAGATGTGATTGTAGACGTTATCTCAACATCACAGTACGTTGTTGGCCCGACGCCGGTAAACGTTTGAAATTGTGGTTGGTTAAAACTGTTGGCCCGACGTTGGTTAGAGGTTGTAAATATTAGGATGTGATAACAGACGTTGTCGCAACGTCAGAGTACCTTGTTGGCCCGACGTCGGTAAACGTTAGTGAAGGTTGGTTACAACTGTCGGGCCGACGTTGGTTAGAGGTTGTAAATATTAGGATGTGATAACAGACGTCGTCGCAACGTCAGAGTACTTTGTTGTCCAGACGTCGGTAAACGTTAGTGAAGGTTGGTTACAACTGTTGGGCCGACATTGGTTAGAGGTTGTAAATATTAGATGTAATTAAAGACGTTGTCGCAACGTCATGGTACTTTGTTGGCCCGACATCGGTAAACGTTTGAAATAGACGTTGGTTACCACCGTTTGGGCCGACGTTAGCCAGAGGTTGTAAATATTAAATGTGATTACAGACCTTGTCTCAACGTCACAGAACGCTGTTGGCCCGACGTCGGTAAATGTTTGGAATGGAGGTTGGTTACAACCGTTGGTCCGACGTTGGTTAGAGGTTGTAAATATTAGGATGTGATTATAGATGTTGTCCCAACGTCACAGTACTTTGTTGGCCCGACATCGGTAAACGTTAGTAGGGGTTGTTCATAATATAAACAAATGTAAATACTTATATACATACATACATATATATAAAGAAATAATAATATAATATAATATATAATATTTTAGTAACATAACATATTTAAAACAATAAAATATATATACATATATATATCTTAAATTAATTTCCATTATGAAACGGGCAGCAAAATTGTAAACCAATAATACTGCAAGGGTGCCTTTAAGGTATGTAAAGCTTCATTAAAAAATCTATAGTCATTTTCATATTATTTAACTAATTTTTCACCATGAATAATTATTTTTACATTTTATACTTTATCATTTCAGGTTAATGAACTGAAAAATATGGCAAAGAAAAAAAGAAAGAAGACATGGGAAGCTTACATTCATATTGTATCTCCAGTTAAAAACAAACACAAATCAGTACTTCAGATTACAATTACAAACCACTGCGGACAATTTTCAAGAAACTGTTTGTTCTGCTTCATATCACACTGAATTCCAGAATTATTGAAATCCAAAGTCCAGTGAAGATGAGGGATTTTTGGACCAATATTCTTATAAAATCAAAAATTTAAATAAAGCAGTTGGAAGAGATACCATTCCAAATTTAGGAATTTATCAACCAAAACATTCTTTGAATTCGAGTGTAAGCAACACTCAACTCGTAACCATAAAAGCTAAGGTTATACAGCTTTCATGAACCAAAAAGTTCAACACAAGAAATGGGCTAAAAATATTACACAATGTATGCTGATTGATCTATCGTGTTCAGTACAGACAACTATTTGGAAAATTTTCATTCACAAAATTAAACATCATTGCAGGCAAAAATGTTTGAAATGTTCAATAAGATGTCAATTTGCAAGTGATAACAAGTTTTTAAAAATACGTTTTCTGTAATAAACCGACTTAAAACTAAAATAAAAGCCTTTATTGCTATCTTGTTACAAAATCGTGGATTCAGATTATATAGTTTTTAATTACCCTAAATGCTCAAAAATGCACCGCATCATGGCTCTTAAGAGTATATTATTACGTTTTGTGTAACTAAAGAATTTGGGTTTTAAATACTGTGTAAATAAATAACACAATGAATACACAAGTATTTCTTTTTTTTTGTATTAGAGTGTTAATTTACTATGACATTGGACCTATGATAGGCCTACTGTACTACAGGAATGCGAGATATGTAACATGGGAACGTGCATGAAAAGCGCCACACCAGTATTTCTTATTATGAGCTCAGTAGCCACATGTACCTTTTAGGTACCTATTTTTATAGTTAAGGTGACACTTTTTTATACCTTGTTTCACAAACCTTTTTTTTTAAAGACAGCCAGAGGTTAAACGCTTGTAACTTCATAAGGAAATGTCGGATTTGAATTATTTTTTTACCATTTTATAGCTATTATTTTACTCTCTAACACTGTTAATTAATAACTCAAAATTGATTTTTGCAACGAGTGACTGGTTTGGCTTGTCTTTGCCACAAATTTTGTTTTCTTATATAGCAAAATAGTTTTGCTATAAACATCCAGACAGAGGACAAAAATTGTATTGTTGACTTGTAAACAGTGTAATAATGGGATGATTAAATGTTAAAGAATATTTTATTTTTGGAGATTTCAAGGCAGTGGCAGGTGAAATAAAAATGTAAAAAAAAATATATATTATTTGAAATTTTCATTTTTGCCAAACATGGCATGGTATATGGAAAAAAAATCTGAAATTTAGATATTTTCGTGGCAGCAGGGCCGCTAATTGGCTAAATATAATGGGTTCGCTATACAAGGTATAAGAAAAGTTTCGCCTAAGGCCGGAAGCTAGGCCTCAAGATAGGGATCTATCAGATGATAAAAGTAGCCTGCGGTAGACTGTGTGTGTAGAAAAAATAAGGGATCAGGTGCGATCCATGGACCCCGTGTAAGTAGCTCAGGTCGAATATCTTCTACAGTAATGAGGACCGCTAACGGGATATTCCATTTTGTGCACACGCTATCTAGTTATATTATGCAAACAATTTCCAGTCTGGTGCTATGCGAGGAAGTTGAAAAAGAACTGTAAACAACGATATTCAAAACCATTTTCAGGATGTTCGTGGCTATGATCGTAAGTGCATCATATATTTAATCATATTCATTACTTCTTAACACAATAACTTTTAAGTTAAGTTAATAGAGCACATCAGGTTACGTGATTTAGACCTAGGTCCTATAGGGGCGCTAATGAACTTTTTGTATTATATATAAATAATGAAAAGGTAACAAATCATTATATATAAATAATGAAAAGTAACTTACAATTATTTATATATAATAAGTTCACTGATTTCATTATATATAAATAATGAATTGACTTCAAACTCATTATAAATAACTGCTTTTACATTTCATTATATATAAATAATAGCTGTCGCAAAATCATTATAATATGTATATAATGCTTGGACTTCAAACTCATTATATGTATATAATGCACACATGTTATCGTGCCAAGGTCATTATATCTAAATAATGGTTTCTTACTGCCAATTATATATAAATAACCGTTGAGGTCGAGTGCCATTATATATAAATAATGACATCGTAGGAAGTCATGGTTTATAAATAATTTGTTATGCAAATTACGAAGTAATAAATATTCACCAGTGCTCTTTAAGTACAATTAGGGCCTATTGTGTGTGGTCTACAGGTCGCAGAC